AGTCCATTAAAACGCTCCAATTAATTCAGAACGCTGCAGCACGAGTACTGACAGGAACTAGAAAAAGAGATCACATCTCTCCTGTACTAGCTTCTCTGCATTGGCTCCCTGTAAAATGTAGAATAGAATTTAAAATCCTCCTCCTCACCTATAAAGCTCTTCGTGGTCAGGCCCCTTCATATCTTAAAGAGCTCATAGTACCCTATTACCCCACTAGAACATTACATTCTCTGAATGCTGGGCTACTTGTGGTTCCTATAGTCTCTAAAAGTAGAACAGGAGCCAGAGCCTTCAGTTACCAAGCTCCTCTCCTGTGGAACCAGCTTCCAGTTGTGGTTCAAGAGGCAGACACCCTCACCACATTCAAGAGTAGGCTTAAGACATTCCTCTTTGATAAAGCTTATAGTTAGGGCTGGATCAGGTGAGTCCTGAACCATCCCTTAGTTATGCTGCTATAGGCCTAGACTATTGGGGGATTTCCCATGGTGCACTGAGCTCCTCCCTTCCTCTCTCTTTCTGCACTCATTCATGTTCCATTAATGCATGTTACTAACTTCACTTCTTCCCCGGAGTTCTTGTGCTTTCTCGTCTCGCAGGTCCTTGTCGATCCTGGTGGAGCCTCCTGCCATGGTCCTGCTAGATTGCCATTGCCAATACTGTTGTTGCTGTGCACCTGTCTGTCTGTCTGTCTCTCGCTCTCTCTCTCTCTCTCTCTCTCTCTCTCACCCCAACTGGTCGAGACAGACGACCACCCACCTAGAGCCGAAGGATCTGTCCTAGGTTTCTGCCTTTTAACAGACAGTTTTTCCTTGCCCTTGTCGCCAAGTGCTTGCTCATGGTGGTACTGTTGGGTCTCTGTAATTAATGTTTTACAGAGTTCGGTCTAGACCTGCTCTATTTGAAAAGTGTCCTGAGATAACTTCTGTTATGAATTGACGCTATACAAATAAAACTGAATTGAATTGAATTGAATTGAATTAATGAAAATCATTCTCTCATTTTCTTTCTTTTTTTAGTGAATGCCGGTGTGCAGGAGGTTTTAGATGAACATAAGATCAGTCTGAGGAGGAGATGTGAACGTGTGACTGAAGGAACTGATGACACAGGAAGTGGAACCCTCCTCAACAGGATCTACACTGAGCTCTACATCACAGAGGGACAGAGTGAAGAGGTTAATACCCAACATGAGGTGAGGCAGCTTGAGACGGCTTCCAAGAAGAAGACTTTCCATGACACTCCAATCAAGTGCCACGAGATCTTTAAAGCCTTACCTGACCAACAGAGAGACATCAGAGTGACTCTGACGAACGGTGTTGCTGGTGTTGGAAAAACTTTCTCAGTGCAGAAGTTCACTCTAGACTGGGCAGAGGGCTCGAACAACCAAGATGTTAGTCTGGTGGTTCTGCTTTCGTTCAGGGAGCTGAACCTGATCAAAGATGAGCAGTACAGTCTTCTCAGGCTGCTCCATGTTTTCCATCCAACATTACAGAAGGTCACAGCAAAGCAGCTCGCTGTCTGTAAACTTTTGTTCATCTTTGATGGCCTGGATGAAAGCAGACTTTCACTGGATTTCCACAACAATGAGGTTGTGTCTGATGTCACACAGAAGTCTTCAGTCAACGTGCTGTTGACAAACCTCATCAAGGGGAATCTGCTTCCCTCGGCTCTCATCTGGATAACTTCCAGACCTGCAGCAGCCAATCAGATCCCTCCTGAATGTGTTGACAGGGTAACAGAAGTACGGGGCTTCACTGATGCCCAGAAGGAGGAGTACTTCAGGAGGAGAGTCAGTGATGAAGATCTGTCCAACAGAATCATCTCACACATCAAGACCTCCAGGAACCTCCATATCATGTGTCTAATCCCAGTCTTCTGCTGGATCACTGCTAAAGTTCTGGACCACATGTTGACCACAGACCAGAGAGGAGAGCTGCCCAAGACCCTGACTGACATGTACTCACACTTCCTGCTGGTTCAGACAAAGAGGAAGAAGCAGAAGTATGACGAGGTACATGAGACGAGTCCAAAGGAGCTGATGGAGGCTGACAGGGAAGTTCTTCTGAAACTGGGGAGGCTGGCGTTTGAACAGCTGGAGAAAGGAAACATCATGTTCTACCAAGAAGACCTGGAGCAGTGTGGTCTTGATGTCACAGAGGCCTCGGTGTACTCAGGAGTTTGTACAGAGATCTTCAAAAGAGAGAGTGTGATCTTCCAGAAAACAGTCTACTGCTTTGTTCATCTGAGCATTCAGGAGTTTCTGGCTGCAGTCTACATGTTCCACTGTTACACCAACAGGAACACAGACGTACTGAAGGACTTCCTGGGGGAAAAACATGTCAATTTAACTCTGGATGTCTTCCTGATGGAAGCAATGACGAAATCCTTGAGGAGTAAAAATGGCCACCTGGACCTGTTTGTTCGCTTTCTTCATGGCCTCTCTCTGGAGTCCAACCAGAGACTCTTAGGAGGCCTGCTGGGTCAGACAGACAACAGTCCAGAAATCATCCAGAGAGCAGTCAACAACCTGAAGAAGATGAACAGTTATAATATCTCTCCTGACAGAAGCATCAACATCTTCCACTGTCTGACGGAGATGAACGATGATTCAATCCATCAGGAGATCCAAGATTTCCTGAAGTCAGAGAACAGATCAGAGAAGGAACTCTCTGTGATCCACTGCTCAGCTCTGGCCTACATGCTGCAGATGTCAGAGCAGGTTCTGGATGAGTTGAACCTGCAGAAGTACAACACATCAGTGGAGGGACTACGGAGACTGATTCCAGCTGTGAGGAACTGCAGAAAGGCTCTGTAAGTCCAGATGTGATTAACATTATAAAGCAACATAAAGCTGAAGCCATCAGTATTAGAGTGAAGATACACACATTCATAGTATAAAACTTCCACAATATTTTCCTAAATCTGTATTTAACCTGCTTCTGTTTGATTATCAATAATTATTGATTATTGATAATTACATGAATTAGCATTTTTGTGTTTCTAAAAGTGAATAAATTATCTTATCCCCCACTAGGGGTCACCAAAGCTTCATAGGTGGTTGCAAGGTCTTCTTGATCTTGAGGCATGCTGGAAAACTTTAAAAATATAAATAGTAGGGTCGCATTTGGTTCACTTATGTGAAGAAAATGAAATGTAAAGTAAATTGTCTAATAAAACAATAGCCAAACATCAGGGACAAGAAAACACTGAATTTGTCTCAAAAAAAATATCCTATTAAGTCTGTATGATTATCTTTAAAAAATAATAATACAGACAGAGAATTGTTTAGGTTTCCTAAATAGGAAATAATCTGCTCAAACTTCATCCAAATCACTCGTTTTACACAAACTTCCTGCAGTTACTGAGTTCACTGTTTGGGTTCATTGTACAATTTTTTAAATATAATATAAAATATCCATATCCATCCAAGAAGGGGTCCCTTAAGGAACAAGGTTGTGAACCACTGCAATAGGAGAAATAGTGGTTGAACTGTGGCCTCGCAACAAGAAGGTCCTAGGTTCCCAGCTGGGTGGAGTTTGCATGTTGTCCCTGTGTTTGTGTGGGTTTCCTTTAAGTGCTCCGGTTTCCTCACAATCCAAATATGTTGTTAGGTTAATTTCTCCAGTCAGTACCATTAACCAGGTGCTGCACAGTGGCTGCCAACTGCTCCTAGTACTTAAGCACAGCTTAAATGGGACTAAGTGGGACATATTTTGCTATATGTTCTGTGTATGATTGTATACATACATACAACTGAAGTGAATACATACGAGTGCAGTTACAAGCTGAGCCACAGCTCATGTTAATGTTCTTTGTGATCTAAATTCATAAATTCTGTTTTTATAATTACAGTGTCATATTTTAAATGTTATATTGTTTGTATTCACAGACTTTCTGACTGTAAACTCTCAGAGACTCACTGGGAAGTCGTGGCCTCAGCTCTAAAGTCCAACCCCTCCCATCTGAGAGAGCTGGACCTGAGTGAGAACGAGCTGCATTATTCAGGAGTGAAGCTGTTGTGTGTTGGACTGCTGAGTCCACACTGTAGACTGGAGACTCTGAGGTCAGTTCATGTGTTTGCTCTGTGTATATCTACCGAATTTAAATCCATAACAGAAGTTTTAAATTTCAATGACTTCATTGTTTAAAATAAACAAAACTTTGTTCGTCAGTCTGAACAGTGTGGCTCTAAAATTAGTTTGTATTATTGTATTATTTGTATTGTGTTAGTAGGAAAACTGTATTTATCTTGCAGTGGGCTGCAAGATTAAATCAATATTTATGTTGTTATCATGTTTTTATGAATAAAGATTCAAAGAAATAATGTATTTTATATAAAAACTTCAAAACAGTATTTTACAGAAACATAAATATTTTACAAACTCAATCACACACACAGCATATTTTAAAATTTTAAAATTTTAAAGATAAAATGTAACATTTTATTCATCGGACGTCTGGATCTTAAGTTATCAGAGAAACAAGCTGAGCTAATGTTAGCAGCGGATCGGCTCGCAGCCGAGTTTTGAAGGATTTCATGCTGATTAACACTGAGATTCTTGTTGAGCTTAATGTTTCAAACATATTTAACAAAACATTAATATTTCAACATTGACTGAATATTTACACTCAAGATGACAGCATTTTATCTTTAATAGTGGAATCTTCAATCACTTTCTGTGTCTTTTTCTTTGTGTTTGGCTGCACAACATGAGTTTGTATAGTTGGAGCCACTGGTGGAGCTGGCAGAGGTTAAGAGCTGAAGTCACTACGTCTTTCTTGAAGCAGCAGCACGTTGTCATTAATATTAATGAGAGCTCTTTTTCACTCTTTGTATTTTACAGTTTGCAACCTGCATCCTCTTGGGTTCAGGTGTTTGGAGTTTCCATTTTCTAAACTTGTACATTGTAAACCTTCTTCAGCTCTGAACAGATTATTAAACACTGAATGATTTCAAGCAGGATCATTGTCTTCTAAACTCACATCTTTTATTCTTTATTAAGATTAAGGAACTGCAGTTTGTCAGAGATCAGCTGTTCTTCACTGGTCTCAGCTCTGAAGTCCAACCCCTCCCATCTGAGAGAGGTGGAGCTGAGTAACAACAAGCTGCAGGATTCAGGAGTGAAGCTGCTGTGTGGTTTTCTGGAGAGTCCACGCTGTAGACTGGAGACTCTGAGGTCAGACACCACTTTTTTATTTCTGTGCTGAGATGAATGTGATGTTAAGTTGTGCTGACAGTAAAGTGCAGACAGGTTGATATTTATGAGGTAAAATCTCCTTCAGATTTGATGACATTAAAAAAAGATGAAATGGTGGAAAATAAGTTTGAACTCAGATTTTAAAACAGAAAAAAAGGATTTAAACATTTGAAAATAACATTTGTATGTCACACTTATAGTTTACAGTTACAATGTTGGCAGTTTCAGTTGGTGAGTGAGTTCAGTTTTATTTATTCAGAAAGTCTGATTAAGATCAGGATCTGTTTTACAACACAGAGCTGAGAACAAATTACAGACGAACAACATCACAACAACAGTTCAGTCACACAAAGCGTTCATCTCTCACACATTAAACCAAACATTATGAATATCAACCAGGAGAACTTCGTAGTGTCTCTGACTTGAATTCGTTGTGCAGTTTATTCCAGTAGTTGGATGCACAGCAGCAGAAACCAGTCTGATCCAGTTCACACCTGGTATGAGGAAGTTTTAAAGCCAACCTTTCCTGTGATCTGGTGTCCTGATTGGTTGCTGTGTCAACTAATAATGCCAATATCTCGTCTCTTTAGTTAACATGAACTGATAAATAACTACACAGGTACGCTGATGACTAGAGTATTTACAACACTGATTAAAGCTGTCGTCTGTATTCACACATACAAGTCTGGTGATGAAGACATGAAATCCCAGCATGCACTGGTGGAACAACAAGTTTAAATCTCAGAAAAGAGATTGTTAAATATTTGAAAAAAGTTTGTTGGATAATGTTTACTTTAATGTAATATAATCTCTAATCTAATAATAATACAATTTAAATATTTAATGTTAAACCATAGTTAATACTTCCAAAACTTTATTCTACACTTTAAATTCTCAGTTTTGAGGGGGTTTGACCACAAAGATTTTATGGTGATTAACACTGAGCTTCTTGTTCAGCTTCATATTTCAAACATATTTAATAAAACATTAATAATTCAACACTGGTTGATTCTCTCTGAAGCTCTTCATCATTTAATTTCCACCTTTCTCTCATGATCCTCTGAATACAAACAGAAACATATTTTCTTCTCTATCAGACAATAAACATATCAGCTTGTACCAAACCTTTCTGATAATATGAGACATTTCTACTGACTGAATATTTACACTCAAGATGACAGCATTTTATCTTTAATAGTGGAATCTTCAATCACTTTCTGTGGCTTTTTCTTTGTGTTTGGCTGCACAACATGAGTTTGTATAGATGGAGCCACTGGTGGAGCTGGCAAAGTTTAAGAGCTGAAGTCACTACGTCTTTATTGAAGCAGCAGCACGTTGTCATTAATATTAATGAGAGCTCTTTTTCACTCTTTGTATTTTACAGTTTGCAACCTGCATCCTTTCTAAACTTGTACATTCTAAACCTTCTTCAGCTCTGAACAGATTATTAAACACTGAATAATTTCAAGCAGGAACATTGTCTTCTAAACTCACATATTTTATTCTTTATTCAGATTGAGTTACTGCAGTTTGTCAGAGATCAGCTGTTCTTCTCTGGGCTCAGCTCTGAAGTCCAACCCCTCCCATCTGAGAGAGCTGGACCTGAGTGACAACGAAAACCTGCAGGATTCAGGAGTGAAGCTGCTGTGTGGTTTTCTGGAGAGTCCACACTGTAGACTGGAGACTTTGAGGTCAGACATCATTTTTATTTCTGTGCTGAGATGAATCTGATGTTAACTTGTGCTGACAGTAAAGTGCAGACAGGTTGATATTTATGAGGTAAAATCTCCTTCAGATTTGATGACATTTAAAAAAGATGAAATGGTTGAAAATAAGTTTGAACTCAGATTTTAAAACTGATAAAAAGGATTTAAACATTTGAAAATAACATTTGTATGTCACACTTATAGTTTACAGTTACAATGTTGGCAGTTTCAGTTGGTGAGTGAGTTCAGTTTTATTTACTCAGAAAGTCTGCTTAAGATCAGGATCTGTTTTACAACACAGAGCTGAGAACAAATTACAGACATACAACATCACAACAACACCGTTTAGTCACACAAAGCGTTCATCTCTCACACATTAAACCAAACATTATGAATATCAACCAGGAGAACTTCGTAGTGTCTCTGACTTGAATTCGTTGTGCAGTTTATTCCAGTAGTTGGATGCACAGCAGCAGAAACCAGTCTGATCCAGTTCACACTTGGTATGAGGAAGTTTTAAAGCCAACCTTTCCTGTGATCTGGTGTCCTGATTGGTTGCTGTGTCAACTAATAATGCCAATATCTCGACTCTTTAGTTAACATGAACTGATAAATAACTACACAGGTATGCTGATGACTAGAGTATTTACAACATTGATTGAAGCTGTCGTCTGTATTCACACATACAAGTCTAGTGATGAAGACATGAAATCCCAGCATGCACTGGTGGAACAACAGGTTTAAATCTCATAAAAGAGATTGTTAAATATTTGAAAAAATATTGTTGGATACATTTATTTTAATGTAATGTAATCTCTAATCTAATAAAAATACAATTTAAATATTTAATGTTAAACCATAGTTAATAATTCTAAACCTTTATTCTGAACTTTAAAATCTCAGTTTTGAGGGGGTTTGACCACAAAGATTTTATGCTGATTACATATTAGATATTCCTTTATTTGTCCCACAATGGGGAAAGTCCAATATAACAGCAGCAAAGTGGATAGAGAAAAAAAACCCAGTATAAATAAAACAGTAAGAGCAGGGAAATAATTAAAAAAACACTATGTACAAGAGAAAAAAACAGTAAGAATCCCCAACAACAGATAACACAAATAGTAGCAGCAGCAGTTGCACATGGGCAATAGATTGCACAGTAATTATTGCACATTATTATTATTATTGATGCCGAGATGGGGGGGGGGGGTTACTGGGAGCAGTGCTGGTTGTTATATAGTCTGACAGCAGCAGGAAGGAAGGACCTACGATATCTCTCCTTCACACATTTGGGGTGAAGGAGTCTGTCGCTGAAGGAGCTGCTCAGTGTACTGATGGTGTCCTGCATGGGGTGGGAGACATTGTCCATCAGTGATGATAGCTTTGCTATTATCCTCCTCTCTCCCACCACCTGCACTGAGTCGAGGGGGCAACCAAGGACAGAGCTGGCCTTCTTGATCAGGTTGTCGAGTCTCTTCCTGTCGACTGCTGAGATGCTGCTGCTCCTGCAGACCACTCCAAAGAAAATGGCTGATGCCACAACAGTATCAAAGAAGGACCTCAGGAGCTCTCCCTGCACTCCAAAGGACCTGAGTTTCCGGAGCAGATAGAGTCTGCTCTGGCCTTTATAGTATAGTAGTGGAATCTTCAATCACTTTCTGTGGCTTTTTCTTTGTGTTTGGCTGCACAACATGAGTTTGTATAGATGGAGCCACTGGTGGAGCTGGCAGAGGTTAAGAGCTGAAGTCACTACGTCTTTATTGAAGCAGCAGCACGTTGTCATTAATATTAATGAGAGCTCTTTTTCACTCTTTGTATTTCACAGTTTGCAACCTGCATCCTGTTGGGTTCAGGTGTTTGGAGTTTCCATTTTCTAAACTTGTACATTCTAAACAGTCTTCAGCTCTGAACAGATTATTAAACACTGAATGATTTCAAGCAGGAACATTGTCTTCTAAACTCACATCTTTTATTCTTCATACAGATTGAATTACTGCAGTTTGTCAGAGATCAGCTGTTCTTCTTTGGGATCAGCTCTGAAGTCCAACCCCTCCCATCTGAGAGAGCTGGACCTGAGTAACAACGACAATCTGCAGGATTCAGGAGTGAAGCTGCTGTGTGGTTTTCTGGAGAGTCCACACTGTAGACTGGATACTCTGAGGTCAGTCACCATGTTTTATTTCTGTGCTGAGATGAATGTGATGTTAAGTTGTGCTGACAGTAAAGTGCAGACATAAGGCTGATATTATACTGATCCACACTGAGTATCTTAATGCTAAAGGCTGTTTTCTTCTTCTGTGGTTTAGTCCATTGACTGTGGCAGAGCAATGTTGAGCTCTACATTTAAAACCTTCATTTAACAAGAAGAATCTACACTGAATAATTCACTGTGAACCTCTTCAGCTCTGGATTTAATCTGATATTAACATCATGGTTTTAATAAATGAGAATAAAAATACATAAATACAATAAATAGTTCAATAAACTTTATTATCAGACAATAACTATATTCAGTTTTTGCTTTTTCATTTTATGAAACTGTTTATATTGACTGAACTTTTTAATTCTAAACATATTTTATTCTTTATTCAGATTGAGGAACTGCAGGTTGTCAGAGATCAGCTGTTCTTCTCTGGGCTCAGCTCTGAAGTCCAACCCCTCCCATCTGAGAGAGCTGGACCTGAGAAGAAACAACCTGCAGGATTCAGATGTGAAGCTGCTGTCAGATCTTCTGAAGAGTCCGCACTGTAGACTGCAGACTCTGAGGTCAGTAGAGGGTCTGAGTCAGTCCATGCTGGTTCCAGCAGTCTTGGACTAAACACAGATCCAGTATTTGCTGCTTTCCTCAGTGAAGCTGTGAGAGGAGAATGGGGACAGGCTTCAGGATTGGACAGACAGACAGACAGACAGACAGACAGAGAGAGAACAGTCAGCCAATCAGAGAGCCAGAAGCTTGTTGTGATCATGTGTTTGAGTTGATGTGAATACGACTGTTGTTGTTGTGTTCATGTGTTCAGGAAATAAAGTGGATTCCAGCTGACAGCATTACAAGATGTATAGAGACAGTGGTCCTCATTCATCCAGTCTGATCTCACACTGTTTGTTCTCTCATTTCTACACTAAACAACTGATCAGTTGGTCTTTGTCACAGCTCTGAGATCAGTCTGACTGAAGCCTGCAAACAACCATCATTACATTTAGTGACCATGTGGTCTTGTGTACAGACCAGGATCTCTGCTGGAGTCCAGTACCCACAGCTGATGTGTTGCTGTTCAGTCTTTGTATGAACATGTAGGACCTTTAACATCAGATATATATCTGTCCATTTGTCTCTTGTTTGTCCAAATAGTTTGAATATTTACACATTTGTCCTGTAAGAGTTCAGATGAAACATTCAAATGTGACTGAGACTGTGGTTTTTATCAGCTTTGAACCCTAACAGCAGTAAATGCATCATTCCAGTGGGCAGTGAATGTCTCTCTGTTTCTGCAGTAATGATGCGTTCAGGGACTCTCAGCACTTTATTTCCACTGTGTACTTCAGTGAAATCTGCAGAGTCAGCAGACTTGATGTCCAAAGTGTCTGCAGGTCCGTGAGCTTCAGCTCAGTGTGTTCACTCCAATACGTTAACATGAGAGCTGAAAGGAAGCAGGCTACATTACACAGCCGCTCCACTGCTGGTCTGAACTGGACTGAAGTCCCTGCTGGTCTTTATACTGGATGTGCTGATGGAGGGAGTCTCTGTAAACACTGATTTATCACTGCTGTCCTCTGTCTCCTTCTCTCCTCAGATGGAAGTGATCTCAGTCAGACTCTGAGCAGTGAGGAAGGAGGTTGTGTTGGAGGATCAGCTGTGTCCTGATGATCCAGAGAGGTTGAAGCAGCAGCATCAGCTCTGACTGGGCCATGTTACTGGGAGGTAGAGTGGAGAGGAGAGCTTCATCCAGCAGTGACTGACAGAGGAATCACAACCAGTGGAGACGACTCTCAGTGCTGCAGTCTGAACTGCTCTGAGATCAGCTCCACTGTCAGACACAATGTCAAGTCCACTATCATCCCTGTGTGTTCCTCTGGATGTGACAGAGTATCATCAGTGTATCTGGAGCGCTCTGCTGCTGCTCCGTCCTTCTACAGTCTCTGTAGACACACTGAGACTGCTCCACCTGGACCCGAGTCTGGATTAAGTAATATTAATATATATATATATATATATATATATATAAATTGTAATGGAAAGAATTACCTTTTCTGTGAGACTAGAGAAATCTAAATTTGAGGAAATTTGGGAAAAGTGGAAAATGTGAATTCCTCCTGTACAGCCTTCTTTTGTTTAACTGTTTGTAACTTCTTATTTTATTTTCTTCTTAATATGTTTTCATGCCATTTTGAAACATCCTGTTCATATTAAAAAAAATTGTAAAGATGAATCATTGTATAATTCTATGAAACAACGTTGAATGTGTAAAGTGCTGATATGTGATTCCAAATAAGAGAAAATGGAAAAAAGCCCAGTAGCTCCTGACCAGCACAAAACATTTCAGGTAGAAAATAAAGTGAATATAAAGAGGAAGAAGCTCGCAGCAGCTAACGATTGCACTAAAAATATATAGAACTTAATGTAATTAGTTTGTTTTTAATAAAATGCCAGGTACCCCCTGCAGTATTATATAAGAGCTGTAACCTCTAGTAACATTTCTGACTTTATTGATTCAAATTTAACAATATTTTGACTTTATTCGTGAACAAATAACTAAAATTATACAGTAACTATGATAAACTTTATATCTTCCAGAATATTATAGTGCAAATACCTTAAATAATGTACAAAACATCAAAATCTATTACATGTATTCAATGTTCTCTTGGTTTTGAGTCATTCTGTCTTCCAGTGAGCAAACATGAACAGAACTCAGTTTAACTGTTAACACCTGGGTTTATCCTACTATTTCAGCTCAAAATGGCTGCTGTGAAAAAGGCGTATCAGCAGTCTTTGGTGTCTTCTGCCACATTCAGTGTTTCCACAACGTAACAGCAGCCGGTTCAGTACTCTCCATGAACTAACCCTTTAAAATGATCCACATCTACCGGGAGGACATTTATTCCAGGGAACTCGTTCACTACAGCCAACCTCGTATGAAAACACGTTTATATATAAAAATAAAGGAACCGACAGCTCTTCGTTTAGATTCTTTATTTTTTCCCGCACAACATGAAACAATGCTTTTAGTAGAAGGTGTTTGGTCTCTTGGTGGTGAAGCGGGGTTTGTGCTGGCGACGCAGGACCCTGTGAGGCAGCGGGAACTTGATCTTGGAGTCCTGCGGGAGGAATCAGAGGAAATAAAAAGGTCAGCTACATACAACCAAACTCTTTTTAAACCTGCGGTCGTTAACGCGTCTGTCGCCAGTTTCAGAACCGCCAGGTTTGAAGATGGAAGCTGGAAATCTGGCTTTTTTGTCTGGCGGGTTTTTAAACTGGAGCTGACAACGTGGAGGCAGTCCAGAGAGAGACCCGCTGACACGAGTAAAACAACATGAAACCGTCTGGACACTCACGTGGAACTGCTTGATGGCGGGTCTGCGACACTTGTTGGCGGCGATGACCTGCACCTTCATGATCTTGATGGAGTGGGCGCGGGCACGATGGCGAGCTCCCATATCGCGATCTGACAGAGAAAAAGGAGACATTTTAACACAACTTTATTTATATGTCATCTGCAGGTCAATGCGGACATTGCAGAGCTTCTGGGGTAAAATAAGGACTCAAATTCTAAATTGTCTTTTTACGTTGTTATTGTCAGCTATTATGGTGTCTTTAATTTTATATTGTTGTGAAAACAACAACAAAAAATCTTTGAACATTTAACTTTTTTTGTATTAACGCAATTCAAACGTCCAAGCAATAACAACATTTTACAAGACCACATTGAACACATCATGATAACGTAATTGACCTTCGTCCAATGCTCATAATTACTGAGTAGAACTTGAATGCGTCATAATACAATTGAATGCAGCCTCGTAACTGGGTCCACACGAATACGCGGCCCCACCCAATACGATGCCGTTTCGAAAAAAATCTCCGTAAACACAGCGTCGTTTCCAGAAATATCTGCGTCCACACGGATTCACTGAAACGACCCAAAACGCTGTAGTACATATGCCAGGCCTGTATATGGTGCTGTGACGCCGCCACACCAATACACTAAAACCGGAAGAGAAGCCATGGAGCATGCGCTGCTTACAAACAAGTAGTAGTACTCCGCCATTGTTGTTGTTGTTATGACGCGTCTAGCGATGGCGGCTGAGGTTGAAGGCTAATACGTCATCGTTTCGGAAGAAATCAGTTTTCGCCGTCCAGACGACTCCGGGCAATCCGGTGTTTTCGGATTTTCCCACTCTGGGACCTGTTTCCAAGATATAATGTTTTCACACCCTGTAAACGTCGTATCCGTCTGGACGCGAGGCCGATACGATAAAGTATTTATACGGATTCTGAAAAAAACGTATTCGTGTAGACGGCCCCTGAGTGGGTGCTTACTGGAGCACTGTCAGACAGTGATAATATGTGTGAAACAGTCCGCTGTAGATAGCCTCCACATTAGTAACCTTCAGTTAGCTACACTAGGAGTCGTTGCTCACAGGCTTGGCCAACCCGCGGCTCATATCGAATTTTGTGTTGTGTATAGCCATTTTCACACTGCCCAAAAAACCTATGGAAACCCGTTAACACCTGATATTAATCGGCTTCACCTCTGATCGGCATTGATGTGAACGTCACACCCGGGTGAACCCGCTAATTTGTACCATGAGGGAGGCAACGAAGGCTCGACTCCTCCGTCGGTAACTGCTGTTAGCTCGCTTAGCCTAGTTAGAGTGAAGCGGCTTTTATTTCGGAATTGGACCTGAAACGTGTACGAAAAGCACATTCCCTGACCGGGAATCGAACGTGGGCCGCGGCGGTGAGAGCACCGAATCCTAACCACTAGACCACCAGGGAGGAAGGATAATTTTACAGGAACCTTATCGACAGTTGCTGTCCTTAGTGATAGTGAGATGGTAAGGAGTGTTAATCTGACACCATTAAAGTCAGTATTGGTGAAAGATGACAACAGGCATGGCACTGTTATATGGACTATGTGGCTGTTAATGGCATGCTTTGTTCTTTGGGCCTGGGGACTACACATTTTCAGCAAAGGGAAGGAGCCCCCACGCAGGGAGGGTCTCAAAAAGAGAAAAAAAATATGATGTGGCTCTTTGCAGTAACACAGTAAAAAATGTGGCTCTTAGTCTCTGACTGGTTGGCCACCCCTGCTCTACAATGAACTGGCGACTTGTCCAGAGTGTAGCCCGCCTCTCACCCGATGACAGCTAACGTCACCATTCTTTGAGAAAAATGTTTGATGTCCTGGGCCCCTGCTCTGCTGCTCCTACTCCTGGCCTCCCTCTCAAGTCTTTTCTGGGGTCCAGATTTGTGTTTTTTGGGGGCCATCATCTTATTTGATCTCCCTCACTCTCTGCTGGAGTTCGCTCGCGCTCACTTAATTCCCATGAGGAAGAACGAACCGTGGACCAAACCATTTTTTAAGAAGGGGCCAAAGGGGTTACTGAAAACATTCAAATTAAAATATTGCGTGACTTTTTGGCTTTGTTTTAGCTTGGATTCATTAGTATGAATATATATTAGTTAAGTCTATGCATAATAATTTAGTCATAGAGGCAACTGGGGGCTGCGTGTGGGCCCTAATGGGCTGTGGGCCCTTAGAATTGTCATCACCTTCACCCCTATACGACAGCGCTGGCCGGCACTGAGTCCAGATATAAAGTCCAGGTCTGGTGTCTCTGACCTCCGGTTCCCAATCTGCCCACTAGGGGGCACCAAAGCTTCACTGGTGATTTCAGCATTTATAAGAAAACTTTAAAACATAAAATATACCCTTTTCTCCAACTGAAACGGTTTCAGATGATCTAAACTTAGAGGAGCTGAACACAAGTTACAGACAGAGCCCTCACTCTGATCAACAGCCTGCAAATCAACCAAAGAGCTGAGAGAGAAATACAATATCAGGAAAACTCCTCTGATCAATATTCACTGGAAATAATTCATCTAAACCTCTATTTTAACTTATTGTTCTATCCCATATGAAATAGCTATGAATATGTCTGTTTACTCAGCGTCTCAATGATTCTGTGCTTTGGCATCAGTTCAACTCACTCACTCAATTATTTTGATAATTAATCATTTTTCAAGAAAAACGTCCAAATTCTCAAATTTCAACTTTACAAATGAGAATATTTGTTTTTTTCTCTTTGAGTTGTGGACAGAACAGGAGACATTTGAGGAGGAAATAATAGAGCTAGTGTATCTGGAGCGCTCTGCTGCTGCTCTGTCCGTCTACAGCAGGGGTGTCAAACTCAGTCACACAAGGGGCTAAATTTAAAACACAGTCACAGTGCGGACCAAACATGATTAATATTTATTGAACAGTCTATAACTGGCAATGTTTTAACCAGAAATATGAATGTGAACAGACTACATTTTTTTATATTTAATTAAATAAGTAAATAAAATTAAAATACAATAACATTTTTAATTCAAAATATTTTTTTCTTCAACAATAACATCAAGCAAAATGGGAATATTTCTGCACATACAAAGTAGAATGTGTCATTAACTCAAAATAACAATAAGGGTTGTCTCAGTTCACAAATATATTGATCAAGTTTTGAGTAAGGTTGATAAGTCCCTGATCACCCCGAGACACCATATCACACACCATCCTCATCCACTGATCATGTTCTGAAAAGAACAAACACAAAACAAAATGTAAGCACAACCATTAAATTACACACATATTAAACTGTTCTTTTTAGTGGAAAAACATTCCATTGTATTTTTAAGTGAGGTTTTAAAAATGCTCACGTATTTGTTTTCTGACCGGATGCCTGACACCGTTTTCCCCTTGTTAGTGTATCAATGTCTGGTTTTAGGTCTTGTGCTGAAGCAATCCGCAAAACAGTGTGGAGGTTGTCATTGGTGATGCGCGATCATACATACATAACTAACATTAATTAATTAGCGCAGTAGTTTATCAGAGTTGTTGTCCTGTACAGTGAACAGACACAGCAGAGGACAGAGCAGTAGCCAATAAATGACACCAAAACACTCTGCACAGTTTCTATTACTACCCTCAGACTCTGGCTCCCAATGACGTCACCAGCTGCTGTTCACCTGTTTATCCAAAGTTTATTCATATTGAACGTGTCAGGTGTCCAAGTTGCAACCACATTGGACTCTCCATCTCCTTGCGTCTCCAGAAATACACCCCGCCAAGTGTGAAGTCGATCGGATGAATGATCTTTTAAATATAAAATAAAAATTCTGTCATCTTGAGTGTAAATATTCAGTCAGTAGAAAATCTAATAGAGTTTATGTATCAGAGTAAAAAGCTCAGAGATCCTGTGGAACATATCGAACCACACACATCTTCTAGCTATAGCGTCCAGGTGAACAAAATGAAATAATTTCCTTAAAAGAACCGAGTTCTCATCACTACCAGTGAGGAAATGACGAGAGGAAAACCAGTTGAATTATGGGATTGTTCTGGTGGAAGTGGTGTAGGATGTATGGATTCACCTCATGCACACACATCACTGTATCCAACGAGTGCTGCTGAATTAAATTCATTGTTCATACCGGCAGTGTGTTATTAATATATATATCTATTATATGAATATATTTTTGTTCCCCTCCTTTCTGTTTGCTTTGGGGCTTGTGGGGATATTCAGTTTAAATGTTGAAGCCAGTGGTTAAACAATCCAACTGTGGTGTCATCCGTCCAGTGGATGTTGTCTGATTTTGTGTTATATTGATCGTCCGGTAGTTTTGGAATGTGTGGCATGTTCTCGCTGATGTGATTATTTATTTCCCCCTGGTTGTTTCTGGGTTGTTGTTCCAGGTTGGAGGAAGAATTGACGAGCGGGATCCAAATGGCTGCTGCAGGGAAGCAAGTTTTAGCCATCCTCAGCATAGTTTGGAGCTGCTTGATGGCTGTTTTTCTACCACTCCTATTTTGTCCAAATCAGCCATCAGCTGGTGAAATAATCCCTATAGCTAATTATGCTAATTGTCCAACATATGCAAGATAGTATCTGTCTAGCATCTAAATGCTGGAGACCCAAACTGAACATTTCTAATATAAAACTTAAATACTTAAATAAAAACATAAATTTCATCCTGCAATAATTCTACTACTACTTCTTTTCTAAGGTATATATATCTATAAAATACATTAATATATAACTATGGTATTTCAATAATCACATGCATAATCCAAATCGTAAAGATATGAAAGTCTCCGCACACACAAACACACAAAGGGAGAGACAATAAGTGTCAGCAGCTCAGTTTGGTCAATATTTCATAAAGGACGACAGACAAACAGGAGGTTAGATGGACGTTTTCATTCTCCCTCATATTATTCAGCCTGCAGGCCTCAGGTCTAAAGGTTACAGTGTGTTGGATTTCCACATTCCCTTCATCCTTCAGCAGCAACAGGCAAGTAAAGGCAAGTTTACAATATCAAATCATGTTATAGCATTGACGTGTTAGAAATTATGCACCTGATATCACTCAATCTCAACAGGAATCAAACGACACATTTTTCTATGTTACACTGAATCCTGATGGAAAACTGGTTTTT